CAAGGCAGACCAGGCTGGCCTCAAACTCACAGAGATCCACACTTGCACCACTATGTCTGGCTAAAGAATCAAGATTTTCAACACAACTGCCCAAATGAACCTCACCTACAAAGACAGTTTTTCTCTTCTTGAGACGTCTCAAATTAGAAATGTGTTTCCTGGGTCTGGATAGACGGTTCAGTGGTTAAGAGCACAGGCTGTGTGGGGGCTGGGGATTCGAACTCAGGTCCTCAGGCTTGCACAGCAAGCACTTTACCCACGGAGCCATCTCTCCTACACTCTCAAGTAAGAATTTCATAAACAAGTGCAATGTAATTCCTTAGGGCCAGACGTTTGTGAGTTGTTTTGTTTTAAGGCAGGGTCTCATACAGCCCAAGGCTGGCCTCTGGCTCACTGTATATATAGAAGATGGCCTTGAACTTCTGATCTTCCTTCTACCTCTACACCACTGTGATTACAAAGCGTCACTGTGTGGTTTAAGCTGTGCTATGGAGCAAACCCGAGGCTTAGCACATGGTGTGTAACCAGTCTGTTTGTGACCCTTTGCCACCAACTAGGATCCAAGTGTTCAAATACCCAAATCTATGGAAGCTATTTCCCATTAAAACTACCACTCCTGCCTTCCTGGACCTAGCAAAGAGATAGACAATAAGTACATAGATAATATATGAATAGCATCCAGTAAATACATGGTACATAATATGTAAATATGTGTGATGTATAAGCATGATACAGGTACCTGTATCATATATGTATTTACTATGTTTCATGTATACTTATATTATATAGGTATTTACCGTGTTTTATGTATCATGGCTATGGTCCAGCTAGTCCAACAATGGTTGTCGCCTGGTGGAAAGCCCAAGAATCTGATAGTTGTTCAGTCCATGAGGCTGCATGTCTCTGCTGGTCTTCAGTCTATGTTGGAATCCTGAAGAAGTAGGCTCTAATACCAGCTAGTTACCATGTCCTTTTATGTAGGCTGTCACAGGTTGGCGTGGCTCAGATTTAAGGTAGATATTCTTACCTCAACTATCCCTGATTTAGGATGGGGCTCCCACCTCAAATGATCTAATCAAGAAATGTTGTTCGAATCTTAGATGGTCCTATAATAATAATTAAAAAAAAACCAGAGCCAGATGTCAAGGTGAAAGCTGAATGATCTGAGAAGCAGTCACTAGTTCTTACCTCTAAGAAATCCTCAGCCTAAAGAGAGTACCTGTTTCCTCACGCCTTATATACCTTTCTCTGCCCTGCCATACTACTTCCTGGGATTAAAGGCATGTGTACTTCCCAAGCAACGGCATGAATTCTCAAATGCTGGGATTAAAAGTGTGTGCCACCACTGCCTGGCCTCTATGTCTAATCTAGTGGCCGGCTCTATCTTCTGATCCTCAGGCAAGTTTATTAGGGTGCACAATATACCACCACAAAGAAAATCCCTCACAGGTGTGCCTAACTGCTTGGGTTTCAGTTGTTTCCAGATGTAGTCAAGTTGACAACCAAGATTAGTGATCTCAGCAAGCGAGCTATAAATCTTACAGGAAAAGGGAGATGGGAAAAGAAGGTCAATCTCTTTCGTCTTAGGGTCCAAGAAAGCAGGCAGGTTCAGCAATGGAGGTCAGCAAGCAGCAGGGCAAAAGACAGTGGGGATGGATGAAGAGGTGAGGGTGGGGATGGGGAGGGTGGGAGGCGGGTGACTTCAGCAAGAGTAAGAACATCTAGAGGGTCGAGGAAGGCAAGGCCAGCGAGACAGCGTGGTGGGTACGAACACTTGCCAAGTCTTCCCATGTGTGTCAGATCCCTGGCCCCCACATGGTGGAAGGACAGAACCAACTCCCACAGGTAGTCCTCTGGCTACAGGAGTACACACAAGTGCATGCCCACACACATACTCTAAATAAATCAGTGTACAGATTTTTAGTTGAAAAAAAAAATGGGGCCAGAAAAATGACTCCGTGGGTGAAGAAGCTTGCTGCCAAGGCTGATGCTCTGAGTTTGATCCCTGGATCCACATAGTAGGAGAGAACTGACTCCCAAAAGTTGTCCTCTTGTTAGAATAAAAAATCTCCTGGTCAGGGCTGGGGAGATAGCTCAGTGGTTAAGAGCACTGGCTGCTCTTCCAGAGGACCCAGGTTCGATGCCCAGCACCCACATGGTGGCTCACAACTGTCTGCTAACTCAGTTCCAGGGGATCCAACACCCTTATACTGACATACATGCAGGCAAAAACACAAGTGCACATGAAATATAAATAAACAAGTAAAGAAGAGAAAAGAGAAAAACCCTCCTGGTCAACAGAACAGAATCTGTGACCAGGATAGAGGTCTAACATTCCGGTTGGGCTGTGTCATTCTCTCTGCCAGGCCCGGAATGGCAGGCTCACCTTAAGCTATGAGATAGGCCAAATAATAAGCCATTTAATGGGACATTGTGCTTTTCCTCCCCAGAATCCCTGTCTCCAGTGCAGTAGCTTAGAGGCCACAGCCATTTGGGGGTCTAAGTGCACCCAATCTTCTGAATTATCCAGAAAAGCATAATGACTTTTCCTTTCCTTTCACCTCTTTTATTTGTTTATTTTTTAATATTTATTTATTATGTATACAGTGTTCTGCCTGCATGTATGCCTGCATGCCAGAAGAGGGAACCAGATCTCATTATAGATGGTTGTGAGCCACCATGTGGTTGTGAGCCACCATGTGGTTGCTGGGAATTGAATTCAGGACCTCTAGAAGAGCAGCCAGTGCTCTTAACCTCTGAGCCATCTCTCCAGCTCCTCATCTCTTTTCTAAGCATGTTTTCCTTAATACTTTGGGCTTCCCACACAAACACACAACATTTTGGACTTTCTCTAAAGCCTCCTACCTGCCATGTGGCTGCTTATCAGCCATGTGTCTAACCTCCATGCCAGCATAAATGGCATGGCTTTTGTCCTTCTCTCCTGCATCTCCCTCCTCTGGATAGGGGCTGCTGAGGTTTGCAGCTGGCCTGGCCTAGGGTTTTCTTTTAAAATCTAATAAAATTGTCCTTGAGTGTCTCTTTGAGTCTTCTCTCTATATATTTCTCTCTGTTTTTTTAAGACAGGGTTTCTCTGTGCAGCCCTGGCTGTCCTGGAACTCACTCTGTAGACCAGACTGGCCTCAAACTCACAAAGATCTGCCTGCCTCTGCCTTCCCAAGGCTGGAATTAAAGTGTACCCAGATTCTTTATTAATGAGACTAAGAAACTCTAAAGCTAGGACTGGAGAGATGGCTGAGCGGTTAAGAGCCCATGTGACTCTGGCAGAGGACCTCAGTGCCCTCTTCTGACCTCCTGAACACACACGGTGTGCAGACATATGTGCAGACAAAACACTCATGACACATAAAATAAGAATAATTAAAATCTAGAACAAAAATAGAATTCCTCTTTCTTCCAGGGACCCCACAGCCACCGTAAGTGACAGACCCAGGTTAAGAGGCATGGTGGCGCACGCCTTTAATCCCAGCACTTGGGAGGCAGAGGCAGGTGGATCTCAGTGAGTTCAAGGCCAGCCTGGTCTACAAAGCGAGTTCTAGGACAGCCAAGACTGTTAACACAGAGAAAGCTTGTCTTGAAAAACCAAAAAAGAAAGGTTTGCAGGCTACATTAGGCTTAGGAAACAGAAACTTCTGCTTGTAAGGTATGGAGACTTAATAACAATGTATAACAACAGGCCTCCTTAACAACAATGTGGCTCCTGTTTTAATTTCACACTCCTATTGGTGTTCCAATATACTAGGAACATATACTGGAAGGCAATGTGATAGTCAAAGTCACACTTGAAGTTTTAATTACTATGCCTAAGAGATCCATGAAACAAAAATGTCTCTGATCTACAAGCCCCTTGCCCAAGGACAGATAGTTCCTGAAATGCTGGAGGCTATTGTTTATGGGAGATAAATAAACAAACAAGCTTGTTTGTCCCATCTGCACTGATGTGCTTGATCACATGTAGGCGGGAGGTTCACAGGCAGGAAATACATCAGGATGTATGCTTGCCCCTGATTAGATCTGATGAGAAATGTAATGAATTATGGATTTTTCTTCTTAAGCCCTTGCAAAATGTGATTCAGGTCCATTTTCTGGAGATCCAGAGATAGACCTAGCCAGAGCCCATCCACCTGGGCAGTATTTAATTAAAACTAGCTTCAAATTTGGCTTTAAATTGTAGTAGTGGATTTTTTCTTTTTTTTTTTTTTTTGTTTTTTTTTTTGTTTTGTTTTTCGAGACAGGGTTTCTCTGTGTAGCTTTGTGCCTTTCCTGGAACTCACTTGGTAGACCAGGCTGGCCTCGAACTCACAGAGATCCGCCTGCCTCTGCCTCCCGAGTGCTGGGATTAAAGGCGTGCGCCACCACCGCCTGGCCTGTGGATTTATTCTCAATGGGTAGGATTTACATCAACACTGAACAGACTCAGCAGGTTGTGTTTCTATATTTATTCATTTATATGTATATGTAACAACAATGGTTAAAAATTTGGGAGGGACATAGGTGGAGGAGTAGGACAGAAGGTGAAAATTATGTAATTATATTTTAACTAGATAAAGATAAATGATAGCTAGGTGTAGTGGTGCACGTCTTTAACCCCAGCACTCAGGAAGAAGAAATAGGTTGGATCTCTATGAGTTTGAGGCTAGCTTGGTTTTCATAGCAAGTTCCAGGCCAACCACTCAAAAACATAAAATAAAAAATAAAGATAAGGACTGGAGAGATGGCTCAGAGGTTAAGAGCCCTGGTTGCTTTTCCAGAGGTCCTGAGTTCAATTCCCAGCAACCACATGGTGGCTCACAACCATCTATAATGAGATCTGGTGCCCTCTTCTGGCATACAGGCATACGTGCAGACAGAACACTGTATACATAATAAATAAATCTTTAAAAATAAAATCATTTCCCTAAATAGGAAAGGTCCAGTGGGCTAAGGGAAAAATCCAAAAAGCAGCTGTTTGTGAGATGTGTGACTCTTTACACAGCACTTACCTCTCTCATGTTCATATGTAGCAGGCTTTTTTCACACATGTTCTGTTCCTTAAATGAAGTCAGGTGAGGAAAAGGGCTTCCAGTCTTGTCAAACTGTCCCTGGCAGCTCTATTTGTTGTATCCAGCCTAAGGGAAACCAGCCAAGAGGGAAGAGCATCCAGTCTTTCACAGCCAACTGGCTTCTTTCATATGTTAATTCTGATGAAGTCCTTTTCAGTCTCCTCTCCTGCTGTATTAGGTCACTTTATATGTCTTCTTCTGACTTCTTACTCTTATACAGATGTGCTTCCACATTGACTTGTCCTGAAATTCTTTTCTGCAGTGGACTTGACCTCACTTTACCTGGGTGGTGGTCCCCAAGATGGAACTGGGCCTACCACTCCAACACGGGGCTTTGGCTCCCTACAACACGGGCAGGCCTTGCTGCTATAGGCTGTAGAGGACGGCAGTGTGCACTGAGGGCTGGAGAGACTAAAGCCAAGGACTGCTGGCTCACAAAGGCTCCGCCAGGGAGATTTTCAAAGAGGAGGTGCTTGAGAAGAGAGAAAGAGAGGGAATATAGTAAGGGAAGGGAGCAGCTTGGAAAGTATCAGAACTACTAAGGAAGTTGACGCTGGAGAGATGGCTCAGTGGTTAAGAGCATTGGCTGTTCTTCCAAAGGACTTGGGTTCAATTCCCAGCACCCACATGGCAGCTCACAACTGTCTGTAACTCCAGTTCCAGGTGATCTGGCATCCTCACACGGACATGCATACATGCAGGCAAAACACCAATACACATAAAAATAAATAAGTTAAAAAAACAATACTAAGGAAGCCTGGGTATGATTGAGAAGAAAATTTTTTCTGGAAGGGTCCAGACTGAACTGGGCCAGCAGACTAGACCATGAGAGGAGAGGTGGGGGATGGGGGGGATAGAGGGAGAGAGCACATGACAACCAAGAGACCAAGAGAGCTCATAGCCAAAATGTCTGGGTTATATAGGAAAGAGACGAAGCTCAGGGGCTGGAGGTTTAGGGTGAGGGCAAGGGATGCCAGCCAGGATGTCTCTGTACAGGTACTTATGGATAGGGACTGGGGGAGCCCAGAGGCTGGCATGGACCTTGAGATGCCAATAGGCACTAGGCATACTTAACAGAGGAGCCATAGAGGTGACATATGTCCCTTTTGCCAAAGATAAGGTAGAAACTATCTTCTCAAGTCCCTAAGGGAATTCTGGCTTTTGTCTAAACGCCAGACCTTGGGAAAAGGAATTTCTTGGGGCCTAACAGGTGGTGCCTGTTCAATAGGAGAGGATGGAAAATGGATTGGAAAACCAAAGCAGGCAGAAGAGTATTTAGGGAGGTGAAGTCAGGTGAGGTAGCCAGCTGCAAACCTCTGGGTGTAAACGGGGGGTGTGACCTAACCCTCCCTGCTTGCTGGCTGCTGCCCTGGGTGGGCACTGGAAACAGCAGCAGCAGTCTCTACGGTGGATCCAGGAAGCCTGGGCTCCACACTGGCCATTGGTGGCACCGAGACAAGGTAAAGAGGGTTTTGATCTGGGCAGCTGGACAGCAGAAACAGATTCTGGAGCAGGTGAAGCCCAGGTCTGACTGGACTGGTGCACAAATAAGGAGTCTGAGGCAGACCAGGGAACTGATGAGAGGCAGGGACAAGACAGCCCCAGGTGCAGCCAGGAAGGTGGGCAGATGGAGATCAATGGGGTGGGGTCCTCAGCAAAGGGAAGGACTGTCCAAGAGGACTGGCCAGTGTCCTTCCTCGTGACTAAACGTCACTGTAGAGCGGGATCTCAGCCCAACCTACCCTTACATACATCTTAGAGCCCAAACTCAACTAATCCCACTTCCAGTACGACTTAGCATGGGCACTCGCCCCAGGGACCAAGACACTTCCCGGGTTCCGCCTAGACCCAGCCCCGCCCACCCGCCACGCGGCAGGGCCGCTTCTCCTTCCTCCCGCCAGGGGCAGCTCGCACCGCGCCGACCGAGTCTACTTATACCGGGGCCCGCACTGTCTGGAGCCGGGCTGCGGTGAGTCGCAGAAACTGCCCGTCCCCGCCACCCACCCACCCCCACCCCCCTTTCCCAACCGGCCCTCACCCTCTTCCACCAAATACTCGACATTCTCTTTCGTCCCTTCACTCCCTTGTCTCCTAGCCTGCCTGTCAACCCGCTCCTCTCCTCTCCGGCCCCTCCCCCCGCCCACACACTGGCTTCCTCTTTCCAGTCCCCAACTAAGTCCCAGTTACGGTCCCCAGCCACCACCACTCCCGTCACTGTCCTCCACCACATCCGGTTCCTCCTCTCCCACCCCACGGCTCCCCTCGCTACCCCCCACCAGTTCCTCTGCCTCCACTGGTCCCGGCTCCCGGAGGGTTCAGGGCCAGCGCGGAACGCCCTGTTTCCACTCTCAGCAATTTCTAGCTCGGCAAGATGGGTTCAGGACCTCGCGAGAGGGAGACCTGTTGCGGGTGCTGAGGGATCCGGTTTGCAGATTCAGCTGAATCCCTAGCGGTCCTCTTGAGTGAAGGGTGTGTTCTCGGCGCAGCCCCTAAGTGGAGGCTTTCGAAGTACTGCTACCCTAAGCTAGCCCCTCACTCCCCTCACCGGTCTCAGGATCGTCCAAGTTCCCTGGAGACTTGGGGGTTTACTGTCAGTGTGCCGAGGGAAGCCCAGCTAGTCACTCACTGTCAACTCGCCTTCTCCAGGCCTCCCGGACTGAGACAGCTGTCCATGGACAATTCTGAAGACGACCCGACCATATTCAGTACCCACTGTCTGCCCAGTGACCCCAGGTTCTGGGCCACTGTCACCAACTCATACCTGGGTACACGTGTGTATCATGACACCATACATGTAAACGGTGTGTACAATGGAGCTGGAGGGCACACTCACCGGGCAGTTCTGCCCAGCCCCCTCAATGTCCAGCTGGAGGCCCCTGCAGGAACAGAACAGCTGACTGAGACCTTTGCCTTGGATACTAACACAGGTTAGCTGCCGCCAGTCCTGGTCAAGCTGTGGCCCAGGGTGAGAGGGACCTCCTCGATGGTCCATGGAGTCTCACAAGGGAAAGGGACCACAAAAGCCCGTATGTGACTCAAGTCTGTAATCTCAGCACTGAGGAGGCTGGGGCAGGAAGGTGGAGAATTGGAGGACAGCCTCAGGTACATAACAAGATCCATCTCAAAAATAATAAACACATGGCCTTTAATTTAAGAAAGAAATTAAGCGTAAAAAGCTGCCTCCCAAGATGAGGCCTCTGGTTTGTCTTGCTTTCCTTTCATCTGGGTGGGCCCACTCCACAGTCGGGAGGGGCAACCTGAGGTCTGAGGACCTCTCTCCCAGCCCAGAAAGGCCATGGTGCTCCATGGTGTTGGGAGTCCACAGCTTAGAGTCCGTCTGACCTTCCCCAGGATGACCGAGGCTCCCAACCTTCCCTAGGTTCCTTCCTGCACACCCTGGAAGGCTCCAGTTTCCGGGCTTCCCAATGCATCTATGCTCACCGTGTGTTACCCCATGTCCTGGCCTTCAGCGTGTCCATCGCACGCTTGGCTGCAGGGAACAAGCCTATCACAGTGCCGCTACAGTCATCCTTCTCTCCAGAAAGCCCAGACCTGGACCTACATGAGGGGCCCGACTTCCAGGGAGCCCGGTAAGGAGCATCCTGGGTAAATCTAGGTAGCCCAGACAGGGAGTCCTTTCCTGAGACTCACTTACGCTCTTGCAGGTACCTACATGGCCACACACTCACCCCTGAGCAGCCAGGAGAGCCTCAGCTGGAAGTACACATGCTGTGGATGCCAGCTCCCCCAGCCTTGACCCTTGGGGAAGAGGAGCAGGACAGGACCTGGGACTTCCTGACGGTGGTTGGTGGCAGCCAGGCTGAGGCCCAGGGCTGCTTTGCTGAGGCCCTGCAGCTGCAGACTCAGGGTGTTCTGTATACAGCCCATGCAGACACTTGGGTCCAGCTCTGGGCAGGCTGTGGCCTGGATGTGGCTGGGCCCCTGGCCCTGCGCCAGGCCCTTCGTGGTTCTCTTTACTACCTGCTCAGTGAGCTTCCCCAGCCTGGCACCCAAGGATCAGTCAGCCATGGGCTCAGCCCCGGAGGCCTCGCTAATGGGAGTCAGGAAGAGTGCTACTGGGGTCACATCTTCTGGGATCAGGTACCCCCTGCACGGGTTACACAGGAAGAGCTGTGTGGAATCGTTTGGGGCGTGGCTTTGAACTACTTGAAATCAATACTATAGAAAGCACAGGGGCTATAGACAGGAGGGCTTCCTGGAAGAGGTGGTTCCTCAGAAGAGAGATGTGTAGGAGTTTGGTGGAAAAGTGATCCAGGTTAGAGCAACAGAAGGTGCCTCACTGAGGTGGGAAGAACAGCAGGCCAAGACCACCAGAGCCTCAGAGTGAACTGGGTACCGGCCTGGAGCCCGCCAGAGGACTAAGAAAGCCGTAGAGACTTTTGAGAGGAAGGACGCAGGTGGAGATACAGTCTGGAAAGATCTGCCAGGAGTAGCTGGGTGATGGGAAGCAAGGCTGGAGAGGCCAAGGATGTAGCGTATGGCATTCAGCGGCCGTGGGTGGGGAAGTATTGAGGGGGAAGGCTCAGGGCCATTGTGAAGTCTGTGCTGTGGCCCACTTGGCAGTTAAAGCCAAAGGAAGCGGAGGCCAGGCAGCCAGGGAGCCTAGAACAAGGCCTGGACCCTGATGGAGACAAACTAGGCCGTTAGCATCTCCTGATGCTGCCTGCGCTGAGGACCAGAACTCTGTGCTGTCTAGGCTGGAGGGAGAGCACTGGAGTGCGCAGGTGGAGGAGGGCCCGGGTGGGCCTGGTGAGCATGAGATGAGGACCCCAGAGAGAGGCAGAGGGACCACCAGAGGGTAGGGGAGAGGAAGCCTCCAGCTGTCTTACTTGCTGGAAGCCGTGGCAGGGTGGGATGTGGGCAGGGAGGGAGGGAGAAAGTATGGACTTCTGTTCAACCCCAGAATGGTTCATCCTCTTAGGACCTCTGGATGTTCCCAAATATCCTGATGTTCCACCCAGAGGCTGCCAGGGCCATCCTGGAGTACCGAGTCCGTACACTGGGAGGGGCCCTGAAGAATGCCCAGAACCTAGGCTACCAGGTAATGGGGCCTGGGCACCATCCTATAGGGCCCCTGGCCCAGGGTCTTCCCAGAGCCATTCTGTGACGACCAGACCCCCATACCTCCTCTTTCCTTTCCTCCACAAAGGATTGCACCCCTGGTAGGACTGGGCTACCCCTCCAGATCAAGACCTGACCGTTCCCTCGTCTTTCCTCACAGGGAGCCAAGTTTGCCTGGGAGAGCGCACGCACTGGCCTGGAGGTCTGCCCTGAGGACATTTATGGGACCCAGGAGGTCCATGTGAATGGAGCCGTGGTGTTGGCCTTCCAGTTGTACTACCACTGCACTCGGGTGAGGCCCCGTCATATCCCGGGTGAGGCCCCGTCATATCCCGTGTGTGCCCATGCACCTCTCGGGCCCACACTCTACCCTGGGACCCTAGGAAGTTGTGTGAAGAGGGTCTTTGGAAGCCAGGCATCGCTCCCTGGGTGTTCAAAGGGTAGACCCTGGCCCTGCACAGTGGCCCCCTTCTATGCCCGGTGCTTTTCCCTGCTCTCGCTCTCCAGGACCTGCAGCTCTTCCAAGAAGCTGGTGGCTGGGATGTGGTCAGTGCCGTGGCTGAGTTTTGGTGCAGCCGTGTAGAATGGAGCCCCCGGGAGAAGATGTACCACCTGAAAGGTGAGGACTAGGGAGCACGGTGGCCAGCTCAGCGTGGACGGTTACCATGGAAAGGCGTGTCCTGAGCCCCTACACTCACTGTCATGGTGGTCCCATGTGACCAGGAGTCATGCCCCCTGATGAGTACCACTCAGGAGTCAACAACTCTGTGTACACCAACATCGTGGCCCAGAACAGGTCAGACATAGACCTCCCCTCCCCTAACCCAGCACAGCAGACGGGGTCCAGTCAGAAGCCATGCAACTATGGCCTGTACTCTCCCCAGCCTGCGCTTTGCTGCCGCATTGGCCAAGGACCTGGGTCTGCCTGTCCCCAACCAGTGGCTGGAGGTGGCTGATAGGATCAAGGTGCCATTTGACTCTGAGCAGAACTTCCACCCTGAGTTTGACGGCTATGAGCGTGGTGAGTGGTGCTGAGTCCTTCAAGGGCCCTTCTGCTTGGTCACCGCCCCCCCCCCTTCACCGTGGCATACCCTCATCTCTTCGACCAAGAGCCCATCCCCATCCTGCTGCCCCGCCCCCCAATTCAGGAGAAGAAGTGAAGCAGGCGGATGTTGTGCTCCTGGGATACCCAATCCCCTTTCCCCTGCCACCGGGCATCCGAAGAAACAATTTGGAGATTTATGAGGCTGTGACATCCGCCCAGGGCCCTGCTATGACCTGGGTGAGGAGCCTGGCGGGTAGTCTCACCCTTCTGTCCTCACTTACCTCCCCACGTGGTGGTGAGTCTCGCTGCTTCAGACCTGCATTCTGACCCCAGAGTATGTTTGCCGTGGGCTGGATGGAGCTGAAGGACCCCTCCAGGGCCCAGGTCCTCCTGAGCAGGAGTTTCATCAACGTCACCGAGCCCTTCAAGGTCAGCCTGGCTCCCACCCACCACCCACTGCCTCTCCCTTCTCCCACTGTGGTAGTCTCAGCAGGGGGAGGGGCCTGCTTCGGCTGGTAGCCCCCTGTCACTGCCTGCAGGTGTGGACAGAGAACGCGGATGGGTCTGGGGCCGTGAACTTCTTGACAGGCATGGGCGGCTTTCTTCAGACAGCACTCTTCGGGTGCACAGGATTCAGGTGAGTGCAGTGACCCGGCAGCCAATTCCCACCTGTCCCGACCCTCTTCACACAGCTCTTCCTTCCCCACAGGATCACTGAGGC